CAGGAATATTGTGCTGAAAAAGATCCCACCATGTTGTTTGGGAAAAAAACAAATTTTAAGAGAAAATTATTTCAACAAACAAATTTTTCATTGCTTAAACAGTTTGTAAATAACATGCTTCATCGTGTGTTTAATCATTATACTCAGAGCTTTTGTTGTTATTGGAAGTATTTAAATTTGTTGTCACAAAGTCCATTGTTATTTTACACCAGATTAGAAATAGTTTAATGTATTTGATAGACATGAATGAAGTTATAAATACTACAAAAAACTGAAAGTGTCTATAAAATTGGTATAAAAACTTCATAAAATATGTATTTTTAAATGAATTACAGATTTCTTACCCATTTTTCAGTAAATGTTGAAACAGACTTTCATTTTGTGAAATCAGCCAGATACATGACTAATCAGACTTAATCAGAGTGCTGCAAAAGTTGAACAATGAAAGCATTTGAAAACTAAATATCTGAGTTCTTACATTTTTAGTTACTTAGTGAGTAGCACATGTGAACAAATCTTGGGAAATTTGTGATTGTTCAGAAATAAGGCAACCAGTTTTTAGTACCAAGCATGAAAAAGAGAGACAGTGGAAACAAGTCTGGCATGCATGTATGGACAGGATTTGTGCAGTCTGTGACAGACTGAATTTCATTGAGGTCTATCTAGACCACTGTTACTCGTTCTGTGACTCCAGTTGGCACAAAGGAGAGTAAGGAAAATTCATTTGTGTACTTTTATACTTAGGTTGGGGCTCTTTGGAAGTGAGGAGGCCTTAACAGGCAGACTCAGTTGCAGAAGGTGAGAAAGTTAAACTGGGATTTGACCTTCAAATTGCAAGAGCTATGGATGGGTGGGATTTGAGGAAGGATTCCAAACTGCAAGGGTGATAGACAAGTAGGGAGAAATCCAGAATGTAGAGAGTAGGGCTATAAGATAGGAGAGGAGGCTGAAGAGGCTATGAACATAGATAAGAAGAAAAATAGATGTCCTGGAAATAAAGAATGAAAATAGAATTGGAACTCAAGAGACATTTGGGCTGGTGCTGGGACAGAGAGGGAGAAGGTCAGGAACATAAGGGGACATGTTGGGGCTGGAAGTGGGAGGTTTGCAAGAGGACAGGTTAGGGAAGAAATGTCTTTAGGTTTCTTTGCAAATTTGGCACTGAACCAAAGCCAGATATTTGTACAAACATGGGAGTATAATCTAATTGCTTTGAATATCTTAGATCTGGAATTGACCCAACTGTGGACTCAGGGTGATTTCACAACTTACAGGGGTTTTTTTTTCCATTTTTAAACTTGAAAATAATTCTAAAATATATCTCACAAAGCTCTAGGTTGGTATAATCTGGTTTACAAAAATATAAAATACATTATTTTCATTTTGTATAATTTACTTGCTTGGTATTCTTTCTTATTAACAAGTTTAATACTAGGATTTGTCATTTCTTGAAAGGGTCATTTTTACAAATTTATTGTCTTCTGATGTACTTCAGTGTTCAATTACCTTTTTAAGGAGTACCGCTGTACATCTCACATGTTGTAGGTGGGCAGTTTATAGTTCCTCCATTCAAAAAAGCTTAGTTGCCATATTTTCTTCAGTATCCAGACTTCATTATTTTATCATTAAATCTTTCTGTTTGCTCTCTGGTATGCATATTTTAACATGTTATATCATTATCCACTACTTGAAAAAATCTTTCAAAACCGTACAAAAGAGAGTTCAAGTCCCTCTCTGAGTATTTCTTCTTCTCCTATAGTCCAGAAATAATTTTTTGGTAACCATTATATCACTGCATTAGCAACCTTCAGGCATCATTGACTGGTCAACCTAATGTCAGAGAGACATAAAGGAATTGAGACCTCATTCTAGATGGTTCTTACATATGGGATTTTTTTCATTGGCTCAGTCTGTTATTTCTCTTCGATTCCCAGCCCTCATTCTTCAGTGAGACTAAAAACTCTACTCTTTCATTATATCAAGTTTGCTAAAATTTCTCGACGGAGAAAAATCCTGCAGATCCACATTCCACTGTTCGGTTTTTTTCCATAATAGTAGTATTAAAGCATAGGGTGGTTTTGTTGGTTTTTTTTTTTTTTGTTTTCCCTCAGAGACCATCTAGGCAGATAAAGGAATTTATTTCAGCACATTGTGTTACATGACTCTGTACACACATGCATACACACTTGAGCTGAAATAGTAGCCAAGAAAGCAGAGATACTGTCTGGCCAAGTAAAAGCAAGTATGACAAAGAAATTCTGAATGGTGCTATGGTGAAGGAGTTACTAGTGAGATCAACAGTGTAGTAAGGTTAAAAGAAAACTGACCTGTCATAACCTTGCCAGTGCAAAACAGATCACACTCATGTAAGCTACTTCAAATTTCCAAAACAAAGGATAAAATTTCTTTCTGAAGTTACTGCTCATAATTGGGTAGAGAAGCATGCTCTGAAAGCACCCAGTTGATTGAGTAGAATCATCAGAGAACTACAGACTTCTCCACCAAGTATAAAAAGTAGGTACAGAGAAGTATGGCTTGCCTCTGTTCATGCATATTTCCAGTGTGCCAGCTCAATACAGTGCAGTTCATTGAAGCTCAGAGTGGTGGAAGGTCTGAGGCTATGTACAGGACAGTATTGCTATTTGTTTTGTGTTAAGGCAGAAGGTGTGAATTTGTTGTTGGAAGTCAATAAATATAACTAATAATTAAATTTGTGTGTTTCATTGCATTGTTGGCTGAACGACATGTATCTTCATTAAGACTTAACTAATTTTGGACCAAAGCATTCTTCCCAGGATTATAAACAATGTGTATACTAGAACAGATTTAGTGTCATGTCTGCAGCCACTCATGTGCAAAGTGTGGAGTATTGAAGACTGCTGAAAATTTTTTTTTGTGTGGTAAAATCAAAACAGGAACATAGAGTCAGGAAACAGTGATGAAAGTATCAGCACTTGAAAAGCATCCGTAAGCAAAAATTACTGAAGTAGTCAATAGGTAACTGGCATTTAGCAGCTTGAGTGCCATTTATTCTCTCTGTTTGAGAATAAATGTCGTGCTATTCAAAAAAAAAATTGTTTTTAAAAGAAAAACTTTAGATGAGCTCAGTATGCAGAACTTCCAAGCTCTGCTTATGCAGTGAGGAAACAATCTTATTCATGCATTGGTCTATTTATACATAGATGGATGTCTACAGAATGATTATCAGGAACATCCTAATGACACCTGTTTGTTCGTTCAAATTAATTCCAGTGAAAATTGCTCCCTCTTTGTGCCTTCGAAACATTCCATCTGAAATCCTCAGGGAAAATATTTGAAGTAATCCCCTTGTTTTTGTTAAACGCTCTCCATTCCACCTAAAGATTAGGTTCTAAATAAGGTGGAATTGTGTTGCAACTGTTGTTTGACAGATGACAGCTAGCACAACAGCCATGCTGGGGTAGAGTAAAGGTTTATCTGGCAATCCTGCAATTTGTTGTGAAGAGGTTTCAGTGTGAGAAGTACTATCTTGCATTTAATGGTTCTCAGAGGACTCCTGTGCTGCTGGTTGTTCAGTATTCTCTCAAGTAAGTGTTAGTTTTTAGCATCCACAGCATCTTGTGGTAAGGAATTCCGCAGCTTTCATGCATGAAAAGCAATTTATATTTGTTCTCATTCCGCATCATTAGATGACTTCTCATTCATCTGTTGGAAAATACAGTTGATTCCTATCTCCATTCTCATGATGTGACAGGCCCCTTATTTCTTCCTTTTCCTTATACCATCTCTTTTCCAAGCTGTAGAGTCCTAGCTTGCTTTGGTGATTTGTGCAATTATGGGAGTGCGTGATGTTGCTGCATGTCAGAGGTAACTCTTCCTAACCTTCTCTGATGCTCTGACACTTCTGTTCCTTATGAGGTGAGGTACTAGAATGGTTGTCAGCATTCAGTAATGCAGGCAACAGTATGGAATTGACACAGTGAGTTCTGTATTATTTATTTCTTTCACAGCAATTTCCAAAATGTTTGTTTTTACCATTATTTAAAACTGAACCAAAGTTTTAATGGTTTTATCAACTATAATAAATCCCATGATCTCACTTATGAATGAAAACAGTCAGCTAGGTGTTCATCATTTTATGTATATGGTAAGGAGCATTTTTAAAACCTTACTGATTTATTTTGCATATATCTCTTTTGAATTTCATATGTTATTTAATGCAAAGATTCATTAGATTTTCTCCTGTTCTTCACATCACCTAAATTTTCATCTATCTAATATTATAGTACTCTATCAGCAAACTTTTTTACACCTCATTTTTGAGATTCTATTTTAAGTAGAATGAATGAATAAAATATATGAAGTCCACTTCTAAGTGGAATATTATTTGTCCTTGTAAATACCTTATAGCGATTTTCTAAAAAATTATACTTAATTTCTGCTTTTTGAGAAGGATCTGTTATTCTGAGTGACTGTGGAAATAATTACAACATTGTGGTCTGACTTTTCTGTATTTGGGTATGGAAAAAGCAGTGTTGCTGATACCCATGATATCTCAAAAGGTGCATCATTGGTATCACTGATGTCTAATGCCACTTCTCCCTGTCACATGTAACACATGGCGGTGAAGAGGGAGGACAAAATTTCATTATTGTCTCTCCAGTGAAAAGACTTCAGTGCATATATTTGTGTACCAAGAAGGAGATTCACATTGATCTAACTCCTTAAGAAAAAGGGAAATAAGGTATGCGGTAAAGTCATGTGATTCTGCATTAACAACATATTTGGAAAAGCCATTGACAGAGTTTTCCACCTACCGTGTCAATATGTCATTATAATACTGAATTTTCCTAATGCTGTTTCAAATACAGGTTACAGTAGTTACATACTAATACTTACTAAGATCTTCAAAATAATGTATTAATATTTGAAATTTATACCTGTGATGAACAGAACTAGGATGTATTCCGACTTTGCTTATTTTTGAATTGTAAAAACTTATTTTTTCATTTTTCTTTTAGGTATAGACAAATGCAGCTTGGCACAGAAAGCAAAGTTGCTGAACTTCTTCACCAAAGTAAGTTAAAGTCCTTTGAAACTGAACATGTTCAACTCATGCAACAAGAAACAGCTAAGAATCTTTCACAGTGCCAAATGGAATGTGAAAAATACCAGAGAAAGCTGGAGGTATGTTATATAAAGAGACACTTTACAGGGCATTACATAGTTATTTTCAGTTTGAATGTAAAGTAGAAAAGCTTGGAGAAAAAGTAACAACATGGCATGGCTGAATTAGTATCTCCACCAAATTGTGGTCAAATGACACAGAAGCAGGGTCAAATGACAAAGCGTTGGTCAGCTTAATGGAACACACGACTACAGGGAGAGGAAAAGGCAAAACAATCTCTCATGGAAAGATGTTAAAGACAGTACCTCATTCATTCATGTGGGGTTTATTTATCTGCTTGTGTCACAGAGCTGCTTATGTTAGTCTGTGTGAGAATTATAGGGAGAGAAGGCAGTTTCACCAAAAAAAGTGAGTTCAGTATCATTATTTGCAACTAGGATCTGTAATAGCATTGTTACATGATTAAATACTTTTTATTGATATACGATTCTGGAATAAATTTTTCACAGCTAAAAAAGTCAAGTTAAGCATGGTGTATACAGCACTGGAAAGACCTAACCTTGCTGGCATGATGGGTTACCTTGGTGGGATGCTGGACACCCACCCAGTTACTCATTCATCCTCCTGAAGAGGATGGGGGTGACATAAATAAGCTTGTAAAGAGCATGGGTTGATATAAAGGTAGGGATGTCACTTGCCAATTACCATCCTGGGCAAAACTGATTTGACCTGGGGAAAACTAATTTTGCTTAATACCCTTTGACACAGGTTGGATGATGACAAACAAAGAGAAAAAGTAAAATATCTTTCCCCACCCTGTTCTCTTTTATTTAACTTCCCTCCTTCATTTCTGACTCTTGTACCTCTCCCTTCCAGAGCAGTGCAGGGAGGAATAGGAAATAAGGGTTCAAGTCTGTCCATGACAGCTCCTCTCAAGTGGTGTTTCCTCCTCACACTTTTTTATCCTGCTCCTGTGGATCCTCTATGTCGTGCTGTTTCCTTCAGGAGAAATTCTCCTTCCTGTGTGAGCTCTCCACAGGTTGCAGTACCTTCTGGGGAAGCCCACATGCTCCTGCATGGGGTCCCCTATGGGCTGCAGTGTGGACATGTGCTTTGGTGTGGTCTTTTATGGTCTGCAGTCAAGGAACCTGCTTCACCATGGGCTGCAGAGGGATCTCTGCTCTGGCAGCTGGAGCACCTCCTCCCCTCCTTCTCCCACCTCAGTGTCAGCACCATGGCACTCTCACTTTTTTCCTCTCACTCCTCACTGCCATGCAGCACTTCTGTGCTTTATTAAATACAGTTTTCTTGGCTGAGGGGCACAGCGTGGGCACCTGCAGCCAATGAACCTGTTTATGTGGGCTTTAACCACTTGGGCCTTTTTATCTCTACAAGCTTAGAATTTATCATCTTCAAAATATACGTATCATATCCTGTTCACTTATTTTAATCTTGGAAATGTGTGTATTCCACAGAGAAAACTTACTTTAACACAAAATTTCTTCACTTGTCCAAAGTTAATCCTAAAAACATATCACAGAGTCCTATTTGTGAGATTAAATGTTTCAAACATACAGGTAGTGTATGTTTCAAACGAATGTCAGGATACAAATTGGACAGGACAGAAGAAAGTGATATGTATGGCAGCCTTTGATTTTGGGGGAAGGATGCCAATCTTTAGATCCCCATATTTCTAGTTCTGAACCTGGCTAAGTTGTTTATGAAAAGGAACTATAGAGTGGAAACAGAAATAGAGAGTTTCAGATAGACTGTAATTTCTTGTTTTGTCCATATTGGGACATTCAGATCCTGGCTGATGAGGTTAGTTGTGGTCACAAGCACTGGGAGTGCCACTTTTGCTAAACTTAGAGGTTGCTAAACAGATTTTTAATTACACAGACATGTCTAAACTTGGAGAATGTAGTTCAATTTGAGTTATATTTTCATTTTCTTTGTGGAAATTTTTTGATCTGACAATAACTCAAATATTTGGCATTCAATTCTACTGACACTTTTGGCACTTGTTTTTTCTCTTTAGAGACACTTTTAAATTCTTTCTCTAAGAAATATGCACTTAAGTCCTCTTTCATTAAGAAATATTGTTGTAGAATTTAAATATTTGATGTCTGAAGCTTTTATTTTTGTTCCTTTTGACTAAATTCTTGGGGTTTTAAAATTTTATTTCTTATATATATCATTAATGTACTAAGGTTTTTTCCCTACCGTTACAGGACATTAGTCTTCATTGATAGTGTAGGCACTGGTATCTTGTGGCTCAGCTACAGCTTTCTGGACTAACTCTTGCTTTTATTTAGGGCATAGAGTACTTCTTGCTAAACTAGAAAACAGATGGTTTTTATGTTGCACAGTTTTAATGTACACATTTATTTCTTCTGTGACACTAGACTGAACTTTTTATATTGAAGTGGCTTGTTTCTCTAAGCATTGTGAATTCTTTCGTGGTTTCGACAGTGACTAGTATTGCTGCTCTGCACACTGTGCATATATTTCTGTATCTCCAAATCTGTATTCACTTGTCATTCTGAATGTTTGTGATTTTTAATTAGGAAGTTAGTATGAAATTTCACAGCAGTACCACATGGTTGTTACTTTACCTGTTTTGGTGGGATTTTTTCTCCATACCAAGGACTTTCTTCCAGTTTGGTGTGTATTTATTTGGTCAATGTTGTTTCCTATTATCAAGCACTTTATCAAACTTAAATTATTATACAAGCCTTCATACCTTTTAATTTTGAATATGAGAGTTTTTTATTTAAGCTTAGTGGATTAAGTATTTACATAAATCTTGAATGTTGATAGCTTATTACCTTTCATTAATAAGTATGTAATAACACTGGTATAGCTTTAATGGCAAATTTTTATATTTGTATTCTGCAAAGGAATCTTCATAAATTGATAACTGAAATCAGAATCCACTTAAAGCAACAAAAATTATTGCATTTACACTGTTTTGACTGCTATGTGTGCATTTTTTTAGTTGTTACCTGGCTTTTCCTATGTTTCCTTTAAAATTCTTGTGACTTTTTCGGACAGCTTCTTAGAGTTACTAAGGCCTAAGCAGATAGGCTTAAGATCTGAGAGTTTAATCTTTGCAAGATAATATTGAAAGAATAACTGCTTTTTAAAGTATTTTAATCTTCACTGTGCAAAACTTACATCAGATATTTAATATCATACCACTACCCATTTTACATGTATTACATTTTGCCTCTTTCAAAAATCACTGTAATGCTGAATCTCTGATTCTCTTTCCATTATTCATTCTCACAGGTGCTTACAAAGGAATTTTATAGTCTTCAGTCTTCTAGTGAAACTCGCATTATTGAGCTTCAAACACAGAATTCTGAGTTTCAAGCAAGACTAGATACTTACGAAAAACTTGAAAAAGAGCTTGATGAGATAATACTGCAGACAGCAGAAAGTAAGTTCTGTCACAAGTTGTTTTATCTGTAGATGTTTCTGGCATTACGATATCTTTTTTCTCATGACTTGGAAAGAATTACAGTGCCTGTCATTCTTCTTCATTATGCCTGACAAGTAAAAGGCAGTAATTATTTTGATAGAAAATATCAATGGCAGGTTTTTAAGTGTACCTGTAAATATGTATCAAACATCCATATGTCTGAGTTTGTGCTTATTGAAAATCATCTCAGTATTCAGTCATTTTTCTTTTCCTTATTCTAATTATCCATTATACCTAGATATACTCTTTAGGATTCTTCTATTATTTTGGTACATTTTAAATGTCAGAAAGCCCTCTTTGTTGACAGGCAAATACAGGTTTTATATTTCAGTACAGTGATTAATGTGGATTTTTTTAACTAATTGGAAGGGAAAAAAACTCTTCCTTCTGTTGAACTAATAATAATTAGACATTAAGTAGTTGCTTGTGGCACCTCAGTCTGTTCCAAGTACTAAACCATGGATTAAATTCATACCTGATTACTCTTGAAAATTTTTGTCTCTCATTTGCTAAAATTAAAATGTTCCCAAACACAGCAAAATTTGTGTAAAATCTCTGTTCATTTAGTTCTCAGCCTAAATTAATCCATCCACAAAACAATTAATTTCTAATTTGAAATCTCTGACTCTAATCTTGAAATCTTCTAGCCAATGTGTAGACAGAGTAGGATATTCTAAAATTTCGGACTAATTCAACTGTCATCTTCTCCTTTTCTCCTACTTTCCTCCTTCAAAAAATAGTCACAATTTATAAAGTATAGAAGATTATTGCGTAAGCTTGATATATAAACAGTAGTGTCTAGCAAAGTGTGCATTATCAAGATGCAGTGATGTTAGTAACCAGGCTGCACATGTTTTATTAATTTTATGCACTGCAGCCTGTACTTAGAATGGCCTGAGTACCCAAAGGTTCCAGTCTGACCATAAGCATGTTTGCTGTATACATGCTTCTGGTTTAGTCAGTAATACGTTTTTTGAAGTATGTATGTGTGTGTGTATATATATATATATATATATACTTGCCTAAGGAGTATTTATGTATTAACACAGAATTTTTGGACCTTACCTTCATTTTCTTCAAGGAGAAAGCAGAGTTCAGAACACTAGCTTTTGTTTACATTTTCTTACGCATCTTGGGACAACAGTTAAGTTTTTTACCAGATCATTCTTAACTTCTTAAATATCTATTTTAATTACAATTTACATTCTATGCTGCAGAATGGTAAAGAAAGGAAAGTTTCCAAATGAACTATTATTTTAAAATATAGTGGCTTTATTTTCTGATTTCCTTGGAGAAAAAAAGGTGTTATAGCTTAATATTATTTCAATTTACTTTCTATTTAATATTGAACTTGCTATTTCAGTGTATTTGGTGTAGAAAGTTAAGATTAATACTTGTTAAGTCTAGTGTCTTAGAGAAAACAGAAGAAAAAAAGTTGTTTTTTTTTAAAACGCTTTGAAGGAGAAGACAGATATACTTCCTCCTCAAATTATTACCTGATAGTTATATGTCATAAATAGGTAAAGGTAGAAAAATAACTGAAAGGAAATATAAGTATTTTTCAAATCTAGTGTGTTATGGAAATACTTCAGTCCGTCATTCTTGGAATATAATTTAGACTGAAGTGTTGTGTGGAAGACAATTAGAGTTTTCTACAGACTTTAGTGATAATAAGGATTAATCTTCATTCCTGTGGTCACCTCTTTAAATAGCATATAATGCTTTTTTCATCACCCTGTGTCATGAAGCCTCTGCTGTTTTGGAGATGTCACTGAGGGTTGGGTTCTCTGGACTTTTTAATAAACTGTGTATTTATTTACACATGTGAGATGGCTTTTGTTATATAATATATAAATTATATATATGCACTTTTTTCCCTTTGGAAAATATGCATGTGGAAGAGATCACTGAATTTTTACTGTTACTCCCTGATCGTTATGCCTCACTTTATTAATATTGAAATGACATGAAACAGCCTATTCAGGAAGCTATCAAGGATTTATATAGCCACTTCTTACAGTGCTTAAGAGGTTTCCAGATGAATAACAGTAGTAAATTCCCTTGGCATTTGTCTATTCTTCGTTTTCAGGGTACAGTCTTCACATAGGGTGTTTTTGTTGCAGAGTAGTTTGATTTTTCTTGTTTCCATTGCTTAGTCTCTTTCTAAGAAAAAGATGGAACCTATCTATATCCTCACAATGGCACATCCTTGCTGCCTAGCATAAGAAACTGTCATTAAGAAATGTCCTCTAGCTTATAAAATGTATATTTTACACCACAAATCAGGTGAAGAGCCTGGAATGTTCTAAAAGAAGATCTTAGAACTGATACACATTGATATAGAATATTATTTTGATACCTACATTTCCAGTTTCTTTTGTGTTTGTCTTCCTGATGTGACATTTACTGGACACTAGAGACAGATCTGAATTTACAGGAAAGGATCTTACTGGCATTTTTCTGAGACATTTGACACTGCATATGAAACCAAAAAGAAGGGTATACACAAAGGCAGGTTAAATTATTCTTTGTTTTTCTGAACCAGAGGTGTTTACAGCACCAAAGAATTCCCTGTCATATTTAGCACAGCTCTGAAGTGCTGGTGTCTTTGTAGTGCCACATTAGTAAACTTTTTCTGTTGTACTTACTGAAATTTCTGTATTGTTTTTAATGTAACTAGATATGTGACTTACCACAGGTGCTCTTCTAGAGCCTTTTCTCTTTCTAAATGTGTTTTAAGAATCATTGTTTAAAATAGCATTACAAGGGTATTAGAAAAGTGAGAAAAGAAGCATTTTGCAAGTTGTTGAGAAATGGAAGTATTTCTGATTTTGAGGCACTTGAGCATTAAGAAAGATGAGTCAGATAGGACTCACATAATTTCCTACATTTGTTTCTCCTGTTCCCAACTATTTGATTCATCAAAGCTTTTGTGTGTTGCCTGGGCTGGTGTTTACTTGTTCTCCCTCCTTCTCTCACACCCCTGCCGCTCCCATTTTTCTCATTGTCCCCCTTTACCCCTCCTCTCTGTCCCACTCCCTCTGCCTCTTTATATTTCACACGTACACTTGCTCTTTTTCTTTTTCCTTTTTTTTTTCCTGGCCCACTTCATCTTACAGGAGAGTGGAAACCTGAATTCCAGAACTTGAAATATGAACATAGACATTTTAATCTTGCTGCTTTTGGGATTTCCTTTCAAAGCAATTATAATTTGTTTAAAACCTTAGAAATGTGTTTTCAGAAATGAATCACCTATGGAAGCAGAGATTATTTTTAATATTTCTATTTTGCATGTACTTAAGAATCTCTTTCTTACCCTTCTCTGAAGAAATGGATGACATTTGTTTTCATCAAGTGTGGTGAAATTTCTGATCACCACAGCCTTTCAAAAACCATAAGTGAGCAGCTTCACTGTGGCATCAGCTCCCTTTGCAACATCAGATGCGTCCCTTCTGGTCTGATGGACTTGGTTATGTCCTGTCACCTTAAACACTCCCAGGTTGTGTCTTCCTCTACCTTCTCATGTATGCACTGAAAATTAATTATTTATATTAAAAACTTAAGCAATCTAACCTTCTACTGCTGAAGTAAACTTACACAAGTAGTATGTATTTCGTGACCATACCAACAGTATGAATATTCAAGGTAACTGAACTATTTTCCTTTACTTTTATATTGCATAAGTCTTATATTAATCATAAAAATGAAAAGCAACTTGTAAGTGATTAAAGTGTGGCACTAAATTTAATGTTAATGGTGAAAAAAACTGTTCCACTCGAGCCCAGAAGGTTGCACCAACTAGAAATTTAGCTTCTAGAAAAATGTCTTTGCATATTGAGTTGTAAATAGAATTGCTTATAAGTTTATAAGTTCTGTCACTGTTCTTCAACAGCACCTTTCCGCATTTTTTTGCAGTGGAAGATGAAGTTGAAGCTGAAAGGGTTCTCTTCTCATATGGATATGGTGCTAATGTTCCTACAACAGCCAAAAGACGACTAAAGCAAAGGTAAAAAAAGATTATCTCATGATTTTACTTGTTCGAGATAAACTAAATGAAGATTACATGCATTATGTTTTGTATTAGAATCCAGCCAGTTTGAGTAACGTAAAGAGGTTTTTTAATGACTTAAGTATACAGGAATAGATTGAGGACTAGGAACTGTTAATGTAGTTGATGCATATGAATGAGCATATTTTTCTAGGTCATTTTAAAATCTCTTCTCATTGACTTTTAGAAAGATTAATTATAATTGTATAATATTAAGCAGCTGTAAAAACAGATGAGTTACATTGTTTGCATTTATATAATAGCATATGCATTATTAATACCCTAAAAATCATTGTATTTAATAGTAAGAAAAATACATCTCTCAGGATATTAAGAAGGACAATAGTTCAGAGCATCACTATTTTATATTCACTAATACAGGATCTTATTCTTCTTGCATTTTTTTTAGCTTGCTCTAGCTTGGCCAATTTGAAAATTTGATCAATAGACTAAAATGATGAATAGGTGAAAAACATACCTCTTGATCATAGTAATTTTGAACTAATATATTTATGTCATGTATTGTCATTAAGAAATAGTAGTGACATTTGAATGGCTCATTGTGAGCCTTTGTGTAGTGGCTATGACTCACTTCTCCCACACAACTAACAACGGGGTAAAAGGAAATGACCTCAGGCTTGCCAGGGGAGGTTTAGGTTGGACAATTTCTTCACAAAAGTGGTTGTCAACCATTGGAATAGTCTGCCCAGGAAGGTGGTGGAGTCACCATCCCTGGAAGGTGAGGAGTGTGCAAAAAACCTTCATAACCCTGTTGCACATCTGGCTTAGAAAAGTGTTGAGAGCTCTATAGCACCATTTCCTAAAGCTTCAGTTTATTCATCTTTTGTCAATAGTTTGGGCACTTTTCTGAGTTTCCACTTGGAGGCTTCTTTTTCTTCACCTTATTAGATTCAGTTTGGATTATTTACATATATGAAAACTCAGTTGAATTTCCTTTGAATGCTGAATCTGATGATCAGGCTCGGATTTCAGATATGCTTGGAAGACACTTTCTGAGCTTAGAAGCGGCTCTACTGGAATGACTCATATACTCCACTTTTGTTCCAAAAGGCATTGACTAATAAACTGACTTAATCCTTCATAATAGTGTTGGAGACTTCATAGAGTTTCTTTATCTTTTAGAATTAAAGAGATTTAAAAAGCCATAAAAGACTATGTATGGTTTACCTGCTGTTTTAATTCAAGGAACACTTCCAGGCAGATAATGTGTGTGATGCCTTTGGCTGCCAAAGTTTTTAAAAGCAAAGACTCTGACACCATCCTCTATTTAGCACCATTAAAGAAACACAAATACATTTTCTGCTCTCTAGCATTGCTAAAGAAAAGACAATCTATTACAAACGTGAATAATCTTCTTTCTGAAGTCCACTACCTGCTCTTCAATCCCAGACATATGGGATCCTAAATGAAGAACTCTTTTAAGCTCACGTCCTGCACTTCAGTCTCTGAAGGTTTGTATAAAATGGACCCTTTCAAGCAGTGTAGGGTCTGTACCTCTTTGCCCACTTGCCAGAAACAACTCTTTCATTACTTCTGACATAGGCATTGTGCACCCATAGTACTAAATTGAGCATGCCTGGGAATGCTCTGAAGCATCAAGACTAAATGGTCTGTAGTAACCCGTTGCCATAAAACAGTTCTCAGTGTAGGTTAAGCTACACAGGAACAACATATTGGCAGTGGTTTGCTTGCCCATGCTGACTTCTCAGCTATGCCTAGGAACTGCTTGGGAAGTGTTAATGAGAGAATACAGAACACTACCAGGATGACTTAGGTGGTTTGCTAACAAGGAATTACCACATTCTTGAGCACTGCATAATTTTCTAGTATAGTTGGAATCAAATCTTGCCAGTATAAGGTGTCTTTGCACATCAGTCCGTGTGTCTCTTTGCTTTCAATTCAAACTAGTTAAAAAACATACTGAAAAGTATGCTTGAAAGGTGTACTTGTGTTATTCTTAAATATTTGCCAATTCAGGTGAAGTTCACTGAGTAGTTGTAGCTGGGAAAATTACAATGGGCTGCATTCCTAAATTTGCCATGGGAAGGTATCCAAGTTTTCACTTACACTCTAATAGCTACTAGTCAAAGAAGTGTTCCTTTCTCTTTTGTACTAGATGAGATTAGTGCATGAAAGTATGTTTATAACACAGATGAAAATTATTAAAACTTCTGCCAAATCAGAAGTCTATTCCATTTTACTGAGGAAGAGATGAAGGTTATGACTGGTCAGATTTTCAGATAAACTTTGTACACTCATCTAGATTTATGCATGCTTAAGCCTGAGCTTCAAGTCAGTCAGTCTGCTTTAGACCACTTACCCTCTCATAGATTCTGTATCATAGTCAGGAACTGGTTGTGGAGTTACTCAAGAACCACCTGGATGCAGTCCTGCACAACGTGCTCTGGAGGTTGGACCAGATGACCACTGTGGTCCCTTCCAACCTTGCCCATTCTGTGATTCATAAGAGTTTGAAACACTAGGTTAGATGTCTGCTAGTAGGCTCTGCAGTGCATATGGAATCTTCCCTTTGCTGCCCATGGACCTGTGCTCTTGAATGGATAATAAACTCTTTGATTCTGGGCAGGAAGTTTGCCAAGAGGTTGAGGATCTAATTTTTTAACTAGGTTGTTTAAGTAGCTCAATAATTCTTTCTCTTCAAAGTTAATCTGTAACTCCACATAAAGGTTTATTTAAAACAAAATTGGCAATAACATGAAATTATTGAGTGTATTAAATGTCAGACAAAACAATTTTGCCTCTTTTCAAAGTGATAAAATACTACATTTTCAGTGTTTTGCTGCAAAACATATTAATGAGCATCTTTAAACAATTATTTAAGTTAGAATTAGAGTGAGTCGTAAAGTTGCTGAAAATAATCATAATTAGATGAAGAATTTTGACAGTATTTCTGCAGTTGTATAGTATTGGTACAATATTGTACCAATTTCTTATAGAAATTGTATTAGTAATTATGATGCATAAAATACTACAATAGCACAACTGTGGGAATGTTATTTTAGTGCTGTTACATTTTGTAATATTTTCACAATTTTTCTAACTGTGATCATGCAGCATCTTTAACTATGTAGTTTATATATATTAATATTCAAGCATTGGTAAAACAGTAAGGCAATCAAGTCCTGAAGCATAAATGTTAGAATTTCTTTTGCCTATTTTGGAAAAAATTCAAGTTGAGCTTGCTTTTTACTGGCACAGTGTTCACTTGGCAAGAAGATTACTGCAGCTAGAAAAGCAAAACTCATTGCTTGTGAAAGATCTGGAACATCAGAAGGAACAAGTAACACAGATTTCACAAGAGGTAAATCATTATTACACAAAAATTCAAATATGTAGAAACATTGCGGAACAGCTGTTCATAAAATGAAATATTTTCTAAACAGTGTTTTTTATCTATTTGATGTTAAAAAAATGGCCTCATAATTAACCAAAACTCCATGATAGAAGTTTTCAAAGAAGTTTATATTGTGTTTTGCAGCCAATATTGAAAGGAGGATTACTTTACAGGCTAAACAAGAATGCGAGCGAGACAGACAACATTTTGATTTCTGAACAGAAGAACAGCCAGCCAAGCTAGTTTGTTCTGTTTGATACTTAATTGTTCAATGAATGCATCACTCCTTCTTACACAGCTCTTCGGTTAAATCACTTTTGAAGATGTTTAAGTAGCCTCAGCTTCAAATGTCCCAGAATTAGGGCAAACTAATTTTTTAAAAAATCCTTAAATTGTCTTTTAATTTTTCTCATAGGAATTAAAAGACAACTAGGTTTTCTCTTAGATGTTGCCACCATATATAATTTGTAAGCTTACTATTTCAGGAATGTGGTTAACAGTTTGATTTTTAAAGCCACAGTAATTACAAATTAAAATTACTACACCCAAGTACTTCACAGAGTACAAATACTTTAATTTCTACATAAATTTTAAATTACATGAATTTTATAAATTTTATGTGTATATATATGTTTATTTAGATTATTTCAGTGAAAGATACATGAAGTTTGGGGATTTTTTAACCAATACTATAATTTGTTATATATTCTTAGGTATATCATGGTAATTTCTATTTGACTAAAACATCTTCTTTCAGTTTCTTACTTGGAAGACATCAGAAAATTGGTGAATCCATTGTTATGCTTGGTATTCTTCCATATCACTGTTCTTTGTCTTAAATTTTTCTGTGTTTCTCTTCAATACGTTCCTTACCCACAGTAGTTTTATACTTAATTCACTGATAAAAGATTCAGTATCACTGACCTTAGTTCAAATTCCTTCAACTTTCCACTGGAGCATTTTCAGCTCATTTTTATCCTGCCATTAAATTTTTCATCTTTTACCATATAATTGTATAGATTAAATCACAATACAATTCAGTACAAAGTTAAACATTGGTTGTTTTTAATGTAAAGTTCTAAAACTTCTCTTTGCTGTCTTTACCTTATTTTTACTCCCAGCTATTGTCTTTCTTGATTTTTTTTAATATAAGAACAAACCAGAGATCCTGTTGACTACAGCATGCTTAAGTAACCCATTATTTTTCTTTCCACTGACAGTTTGTTCAGTTATCTAGATGAAGTCTAGAGCATGGATAAAAAGTTGATGCAAAAGTGATTTTATCAGCTTCTGGTTTGAGCTTGGTTCAAATACTGCTACTTAAGTGCAGTATTTATGATACAACCTTTTCAGCTTTTTAAAGGAGAGAGGAAAAGACCACATTAAGTCAATAAGACCATAAACAGAAGCATTGACTCTACTTTATTTTTAATCAGTGAAACCTGTTACATTAAAACCCTTGAAAATGCAGATGAGGGAAGTGTAGAGAGTGATACCATTATTGCAGTGAAAATAGCATACAATTAGAAAACTCTGAAGATAATGTACTAGTAATCAATTTGAAGGTGGTATGTTTCCTTTTTTATGTATGTAATAAAAGGTTTGGAGTTTATATTAATATGCAGTTGGTAAAAACCAATAATAATTCAGTAATAATCAAGTAATTGTGCTTTATAAATTAAAAAATTTATGGTAGTTATACCTTTTTTTTGCAGCTTGACAGAGCAAATTCTTTGTTGAACCAAGCACAACAGCCATACAAATACCTCATTGAAACTGTGCAACAGAGAGATTCTCAAATAAGTCTACAGAAAGAACATATTGCACAACTTGAAAAAGATTTCAGGTAATTAAAATCACCGATTCTTGTTTTACTTCCTCTTAAACTGGAAGGTAAAAGCACTTTTTTTTATCATTAGAAGAAAATTGTGCTATTGGCCACAAAGTTGAGATGTTAACACTCAATCACTGACCAATTCCAGTCTTCGTGCTGGACTGTAACACTTGTTATTTCTCTCACAATGTCAGAAAAGGATACTTTAGTTTTGGAAAAGTAGCTGTGACAAGTTTAAAGTGAGTTTGGAGTTGAGAAGAGCTCTCATGAAGTAGAGAAGAGTTCAGAAGACTAAAAGGAAAGAATGACACACCAGTTGTACAACAGTAAAAATCAAGAAAAAAGTCGGAAAAAAATTATAATAGAGTAGTCCACCAGTAAAGGGTATTTCAGCAAAAATTAGAGCATTTGCTCTCATGGAAGTGCTGATTTGGTGCTATATCCATCTGTCAGAGCTCTCTAATCACTGAGCAACTTCCCTAACATCTGATTCCCAGGTAGGCTGTTAAAAAATAATGTCCCTGATTTTCAAGGAAGTTGATAGCTGAGTCCCACTGCTCTACAGAAGAATTAGCATTTTAAGTATTAGGTGTTTATGTGGTGTCTTGGTTTAGGAAAAGCAAACAGTAACTATTAGGAGACATTATTGTGATTCTGTTATGAAGCAATTATGTGAAAAATACAGGATTTTTCACTAATCTGCTGAAGCAATTAAAATAAAACAGGGTTCACCCTAGCTAATACTCAGTCGTATATACTGTAATACATATGTATCTATTCAGAGTATTTTGATGGTTTGGGATGGTATTTGTTATCCCTTGAGGAATACCTAAAAGTGCTTATTATCCAAGCAAATATGAATCAATAAGTTTATAAATAAACTGAAATATTCATTCATAGTTCCTGACAAGGTATTTTTCACTGAGCTTAATTTTGATTCAATAAGAAGAGACATTTTTTAAATTCCAGAATCAAGTGTTTTTAATATTTTCCTGGACTTGTTACGTTATAAGAAACACCTCAAAGATAAATTATATCTTCCCAGAAAATAAAAAAATCCCAGTGTTCTCTATACACATTTGTGTATATTATATTTTCCATTTGTGAAAAGTATCAAAGAATTGGTCACAAGATCTAATTTTTAGATTATGGTAATAGTAATGGAATGCTTTTGTTAGTCACGAAGTAGTCCAAAAGTCTCTCAAAAGGAAGACAGAAGGGGAATGCACAGGTGAGGTCATTTCTAAAAGTATATGTTTCATGCTTTAAAATCTAAAAGAAATTAAATGTGTTATTAATATTGATTTTATTGAGTTAAATGGCTTATTGCCAATAATCTGTATGCTTAGATATTCTTCTTATATTTACTCTACAAATTAAGGTACCTAAATTAGAGACTTAGGTCAACTTTCCTTAATAGTTCATGGAGGAAGTGACATCTCCAGAAAGTCATTCAGATTTTGGGTGGAGTGAGTTATTTCCTAGAGATGCCTATTACTCTCTGTTAACGCTAAAGGAATTTTTTTTTTTTCATCTTAATGAGCCTCAGGTTAAGAAAGAAAGTGGATCTGCCCTACAGTGTGAGCATTTATGGTAAACATACCAGCAGTACTCCACTGTGGGGAGCTGGGGTGTGCTCAGCATTAGTCTGTGTTTCTGTAAATGAAAGTGTGGCCTGACAAAAAATATTATAGCCAAAAAAAAGGTAACACTTACTTTGCACATCAAATATTTTGGCAATATTTAGTTTGTAGTTTCCAATATTCCTTGTAAACTGAAAATAGCTTCTACTATCACAAGTTTGCCCAGTTTCATAGGCCAGAGAAATTCTTGGGAGCAGCCTAATGTCTTAGGACTTTTGGTGCATATTAGTAGTCCCTGATTTTTCTGTTCATAGCTCCACATTTAAAACAAAGGTCCTAAATTGTTAGCTGGCATTCCCTGTCATACATGAGAAATCATAATGTGGGATAAAATTGATACTGTTGTTCCTTTGCCTTCTGATAAGTGAGAAGAAGGTTAGAGGTAGGGATTTCTAACCAGAGAACCATTACATTGAAGAAATTTTTTATCATGAGGATAACCTTTTGGAATCTGCTGATGACAGTTTTAAATTAAAATATCCCGTAGGTGATTTCAGATTACTCTCAGCTATTCCAGAACTGAATCAGAATGGGATTTAAGTAAATTAATGATAATCCCTACCAAATATATGCCAGGTGAAGCTCTGCTGGATCAAAAGATTTAGCCCACTATTCCTATCCCTCTTGGTTTATTAAACAGCATTTTGTTGGTTTGTGCATGGAATATTTTTGAGAGGATGAGTTCAGAGAATTAATGCTCCTCAAGGAGAGCCTTAAATTCTGCAGATGATGTTGGTGTTATTAGAAAAGTATTAGTGAAAACACTAAACATGGTTTATGAAGCCTGGTTTCTCTGTATCTCAGAGGTGAAGGAAAATGTTAATATTTGTAAAACCATTTCAAAATTAAATTGTTCTTTCAACCATTACCTATGATTAATAGTTAATAATACTGCAGTTCTGCAGCAGCCTCTAAACTGAGGTATAATTTGTTCTACAGTTACACAAGGTACATTATTTTTTTAAATTTTAAGTACAATAATGCATTAGTTTTATTTCTAAACAGCAATTTCACAAGAACCAGCTAAAGAAAAAGTAGTGCTTGAATTCTTGTTTTCAGACAGACCTTCAAAAATACTAGTGATTTTTAGGGTGCATATTTTTTTAATCTCATATTTGAATACCAGATTGGAGACAAATCAATGTAGTGTTGATAATGCCTGCACCCTGAGAATCAAGACTTAATTTATCCTTACAGCTGCTGCATGCTTAGTCATAATTTTCCTTCCTTTTTATTTAGTGTGCACATTCAGTGGTGGAGGGGTGTTCTGTTCATGTTGTGTTTTTATTTCTTCTGCTCACCAAAAGAGAGCATTATGTAAATCATGGATTCCCCAAACAGAACAGGCACATCTGTGTTATCAGTGCCAGTGTTCTCTATCACTTCCCACTTAACTTGAGTGTGGAGGGATCAGCAAGGACTTATTTGCAAGTGAATTTACTTTTTTATTCTTAATCCATAATTGTCTCCTATACGCAGTGATCATGGTCAATAGTCTTTTTAGAACATACTCCTGGGGTGATTAGGTTCCAGCAGATTTCCCAGGATGATGAGTCAGTGCTTTCTTGCAACCTATAAATGTTTTGCAGCAACCTGAAGCACTGTGTACTTCCATGTCTATTGAGAAGTTTGTTGGTTGTATTGGATGTGAGTTTGGTTCTGTGATGAAACAGAATGTTGTTCAGCAACAGACATTTGTTGAATCAGCACAAGAGGAAGACAAGCACAAGGAAGGCTATCTGTGACAGAAATCTCATTTTGGATGTTCTTGGATATCTATCAATTTTTCACAAAATGGCCTAAATTCACATTTATAATGGTCCCTTAACAAGCAACAGATGTGTTCAGGGTTCTCCACACTCATAATTCTATTAAAGTGTCATTTCTGACAGCAGTTATTTCTGCAAGTTACTTTCTGAAAAGATTCAGGCAGATAATTTTGATATAAGACAAGGACTTTTTGACAAGTCCTGCAGACCAATTGAAGTCTCCTTCCAGTATGGTCTTTAAAGTTCACTTCAACTGGAGCAGCTTAGCTGCCTTCATCCTTATATGTCACACCTGTAGAGCTAAGGCTGTCTTTCATAGCCTTCATATCAAAATATCTTCCTCACTTGGAAGGACTGTCCAAGTGGTGCTCAAGGTTGCCTGTGTCAGTAGCTGTCAGACTGAATCACAGAATGGTTTGGATCGGAAGGAACCTTTAAAGATCATCTAGTTCTACCTTCCTGCCATAGATAAAAACATCTTCCACTAGATCAGCTTGCTCAAAGCACCATTGAGCTTCTCACTGGAAGGAGAGAAACAATCGGAATACTTATCAGACAGAATTAAAGTAGTATATCTAGCAGACCTAGACATACTTAGTTGGTTTGCTGAGAAGTGTGTCTGTTCTGGACATGTGAATCTCTAGCCATACCTTCATAAGAGCTCCAAGAGCTGTTGTAGTTGGGGTAAATGCTTAACTGAGCTGCTGCCATTGCTGGGATTTGCATGAACAACCTGGGGACCACCACCAGGTTATTAAAGGTGTGCTGATATCACTGCTGAGGTACAAGAGTGAAGGCACAAGCATATTACCACTCAAGGAGAAGGAGAGGTTGTTTAAGACAATGGAGGCTCTGTCAGATGTTGCCCACATATGGTGTTCACTCCCACTCTCATTCCCATCCCTTTAGGATTCTCCCAGACAGGCCATGGGCTCTGCTGGAACTTGGCCTCAAACAGAACTTGGCTCTGGGAGCAGAACACTTGGTGTGCTTCTGAACTGAGCCATGCACCTGTAGATATGTTTCAGATACAAAACCTTGGTCTTGAGTGACAGGGCATCTGCAGGATGCATTTATAGGTGGTCTGCATATCTCAAAATACTCTGTTAAGTAACTTCTTATTTATATTAGTCCACATAGCACTCTAGTTAATAAAAGTAAATAGTGATGGTTAATAAGAGCAGTGCTGTGTGTGAGGATGACTCCTTGCTGCTATAAAGAAATCTCTCTAGCATACAGTTCTTTAGCCAGAAATTAAAGCATCACATTTAGCACTCCTTTTGAAAAGAAATGCTTGTAACTATGTCATGCTGTGGGAAAACAAATCTTGAGTTTCATTCTTATGTGTGTAGTGAAGTAATTGTAGTTTTAGTACATAATTTTCTGCTAAAAACATCTAGGTTTATAAATAACTGGAGATGCTAAAAGGACTTCATTCATAAAGAGAGGGTATTTATTTTAAATGCAGTTACTCAAATTTCTGAGTACCAATGGCTGGTTTTAAAAGAGTCTCACTTACGCAAAAGCAATACTCAAAAGCCTTAACTGTGTGGAAAATCCAGAAGCCATATAAGGATTTTGCTCACTAAGAAGCTTTGTACTGAAATGTTCCTTACCTAAACATTTTGGGTTCTCTAATTGCCATCCAAATATAAAGCTCAACATAGAGTGTTAGATGAGTTTTTCCCATCAAAGAATGGGCAATGAGCTTTTTATGAGAACATTACTATTCTGTGAAGTATGCACCATCTATTCCAATAGTACTGCAGCTTACCAGAGAAATGCTCCAAGCAAAATTTGTAGAAATATGTCATTTTTTATACATTTTCTGACCTGTAATACAACTTTTTAAAAGTTGTTCGGGTTGCTTTTTTTTTTACAGTCTGAAAAATAATTTTAATTTGGACACTTTATGGATAGGTTTTTAAGCCTCCTGAAACATTCTAGTTAAAATCATTAAGCAATACTCTCCTAAATCTGTTCAAAAATCTGAGCTGTGGCTATTTAGCTGCACAATGAGAGATCACTGATTTGTCACGTATTCTCTCTTGTAAGGAACTTTTGTTTGCAAAACATCTTATACCTCCCTTTCTAACTATGTGACTTAAGAGCAAAATTTGATCTAGACTAATAATTAACTGCCTACTTTGAGCTATTAATCTGTAATTTGGAGATAAGGGATAGCTTCACTATATGGCTATATTATATATTCAGTTATATGTACAAAACCTTTACATATACTATTTGTGTTTCATTTTTTCCAATGGTAATACTGTATCTGAATATAAAATGCAAAAAAAGTCAGTATTGGACTATTCAACTTCATGCTGTAAGGGCAAATTAACAGAAAGGCACAATCCATTTCTTACAGCATCTGGAGTACACAGTTCACTGAAAAAGAAACTTACTCTTTTTTTTTCCCAAACTGAGTAGAAGTAATAATAAAATCCAGTACTATATAAACCCATGTTTATTTTGTGTGTCCCGCATAAACATATTATTCTGAATATCTAATTATAGAAGCTTCTGAACAGGATAGTAACTAACATATTTACACTTCAGCATTAAAAATGGTTTAGTTGCCCAAATTGAAAAGAGTTTATAAGGCTGAAACTGGAAAAATGTTAGTATCTGTTCTCCAGAAAAATCATGTTACGTAGAAATGTCTTACATACTTTATCCAGGCTACCATGGCTTTAGATCCTGAGTGAAGCAAGACAAAACAAGCCAGTGGTTGCTATGAGCAGTGTGTATTCATATGACAAGTGTTATTTTATGGTTAACCTGCATTCCTGGTACCTGGATTCATACCTGGCTAGGCTTTAAAAGCATGATGGAATGAAACTAGATGTCCTCACAGACAATTTGGTTTCTTCTGGAAAGCACACAGAAAATGCAGGACCTGCACTACTTTTCATTTAGTTCTCTAACGTGGACTTTTCAGGCTACAGTTCTATGATACTTCACAATGGGCATTTTCTCCATATTCAGGATGAGGCCATCAGTGACCAGCACTGTGGAGCACATCATGATCCCATCTTTTTAGACGAAAGTTACAACCCTTGAGCTCTGGTGTTAGAAGCTGGTTTGCCTAGACTCATAGATGGTGGTTTCAGAATCAAAGCAAGACACTTGAGGCACTCCATCACCAAATGGAGCAGCTCATCCTTGCCTTCAGCTGTAGGTCTCCACTGTATATGGCAAATCAAGTTATTTTGGTGATCCATGTGAAAGATAACCTTTTAAAAGACACCAGTGTCCATCCAGATCAGTGAAGGGACCTTCTTATGTGGTGACAAAGTGTCTAATACCAACAGAAAGAGTAGGTTACCTGGATGTGGCAAGGAAAGGATGGGCCTTCAACAGTTCTCACTTAGGTCAGCTAAAACAAATTGTAAAGTTGCTCTCTGATTTGTCACACTGCTAGTTAAACCTGGACTAGGTTAAACTACTCTTCACTGGGAGTGTAAGGTAGGTTAAAGCTAGAATCTCTTTGCTGCTATCCAAGATGCTGGTTCAGAGCATTTTAGAACCAGACACTGAAATGGTCAGTCTTCTTCCCAAGATGCAACTTTTGAAGGTATTTCTGTTTAACCTTGTCACGTATTATCATTCTGTCTGGGAACTGTTTTCTCACTCTGTTAAATGTGTATATGCCTCTTGCAGTATTCTTTCATGAGCACATGAATTATTCCCTTCTATCTGCAATGATGAAAAAGCACAAGTATTGCAAAACTACAAAATTCATGCTTTGGTAATTCTATATCAATGTGTATGACAGAAAACACTTAAAGTGCTACTGAATGATGTAGTAGTCTGTGTCCTATATTTTACTATAAACAAAGAAAATTGGAACTGCTCTACAGAGATCACTTATGTCATATTATTTCAGAAGGTATAAGCAGTATAAGTAGAATAGGTTCTATTCTGTAGATGAAACTGAACCTCAAATATGAACTTCTGGTTCAGTCATGAACAGTAATGATTATGCTTATTCAGTACACTACTTAAGTCTTAGAGAAACTTGTATTACTGCTTCTCTAATAAGTTTTTGAGCCTCTAAAAGGATTAGTTTATGTTCTTAGGAAATACAGAAATCCAAGAAAAAGTGATGTGTAGGTTACAACACATGAACCCAAGAGAAAGAATGTACAGCAATTTCATTGTGATTAAAAATGTGACAGAAAATAAAACTCTTGAAAATATTAAAATATTTTAATAGTTTTTTTAAATGTTATTACTTTTCTTTTAAATAGTTGAAACAACTGAGCAATTTGGCAAAAGAATACATTTTTTTCTGAGAATTAATGAATGCCTAGAAGGAATTGACAGTCGTAATTTTCAATACAAAGCTTGTAAGGAACTGCCAGAAAATCTCTGGGGCAAAGGATGATGTTGCTTATTTGAAATGAGCGGATGATACACGGCCAATTAAAGATTGATTTATTTTGTTGATCATTTCTGAATTAAATATTGGAAATATTAAATAATTTGTGTTTGCAACATATGTAATTACTCCATTTATAAAATTTTAATATATTTGGTTTTGAACTCCTGACCTGTTTGCAATATTACGTATTTACATTCCATATGCAGAATTGCATTTTTCATAGTTCTTGATTTATGTTACAGTTTATATTGTACAATGTATTTAGTTAAGACATGTTCATGGTATATATAACATTTCTTCCAAGAAAATGTATGTCGCTGTTTTAACAAAATAGATTATATGCTAGTATTATGCATGCATTAGTCTAAAATTTAATGTTTGAAACTGATGCTGGGGCTAAAAAGGAAAATACATTTAATTATTATAGAACTGCTGCCTGGAATCACAATGTGAAACATTTCAAATGTTCATGTGCTAGAAGACAAAGAATGATTAAAGTTAAACTTTACATTCTACTATAAAGGCATGCCTTCATGCCAAAAGTTTTCATACTTGATCCCATACATTATCCTGGAATAAAAATACTAAACATAACAAAAATACGTTTACAGTTTTTGCAGAAACTACACAGCTAAAGGGAGAAGAGCTATATGTTTTTCTTCCTTATATTTGCTGTTTTCAGAATTCTAAATACAGTAGTATAAAGAGTTCATATGGTGTGCTACTGCTAGTGACTAGTACAACAAAGAAATCCACATTTTGATACAGAAGTGTAGGTATAAGGAGACTTACTTTGCTTAAAAAATGATCTCATTTTGCCAAGAAGAAACCAAGATTAGATCGTAGAAGATTCTAATCATTTAAATTACCCTTCAAAGAAAAAAAAAGGCATTTTATGAAGGTTTTGAATACTTTTTCTGTTTGACTAAAATAAGAAGTTATGTGTATATTTGGGCCCATTTATAAAAATTTCAGTACTTGAATATAGAGAAGGATCATTTGATACAATTACTTGAGCAGATTTTTATTGTTGCCAGTATTCAGCTTTAGAAAATGCATGTTTCAGCCAGAACACAAGATTAAAAGAGATTATCTGTTGCTATTACTGCATTTCCTATCCTCTTTTTACCAGTCTTTTAAATAAAGAAAAGACAGCTTTGCTGCGTGTCAAGAATCAAATGGCAGCAGATTTGGAGAGACTTCTAAATGACCGTGAGGTAATCTTCCTCTTTTAGCATTACTACCATAAGTGCACTTTCTTGCTACTGGCCCTTAAACCATGGAGAAAAAAATGGTTTACTTTGGTTCAATTTGTGGGGTTTTCTTGTCTGTTTCGTTTTCAGCAACACAGGTGAACGTGTCTGTCGGGTACTGGGGAGGGTCTCAGTTGTACTCTCAGTTGTTAAATCCTCTCTTATGATTTACTGTCTCTGTTCTTTCTTTTCTTTTGCCTTGAACAATGTTTGGCGATTGCAGGCATTTAACAAGAATCTAGATAAAGACAGTGAAATTGATACACATGTAATTTGCAAGGTCTACATGTGCCACAGTATGCCTCAGGGATCTCTCTGTGCTTCCCAGTCCTTGCAGCCAAACATTGGACCCAAAGCATGTTCAATTCATTTCCTATACACTCTTGAATCCCTTTTCAACTCCAAAATAGGGGTTAGGGAGAGGAAACAAGACAATAATTACACAGGTTTCCAAGAAGAGTTAGGGTACTTTTTTGTGTACTTACCTGAGTTTCATCTGAGCAAGAATCAGGGTGCTAATGGACTGGATTATACTCTCAGATCTAAAAGTATGCAAAATTGTGCCATTTAGGGAACCCTAAAGGCTCTTGGAAGATTTTTATCTGAACAATCATAAGAGACTAATATGTCATGGCATAGGAGAGAAAATCTGCAGATTAAATGTCTGAAACAAAGGATGAAAATAAATGAAGTTTACTGTAGGAATCTGAGAATGTGAATAATACCACAGAATTTTCTGAAGCTAAAGAGTACTGAAGATATAAAACCAAAAGCTGACCTAAGCAGCTATTAAATCTTCTCCCTGAGCTGCTGAATGATTTGGCAAGGATTTGCAGAAAAAATACATGAAGAAATGAGGAATGAGGAAAAACAGTGCAAATTATAGATACAGAGTGATGGGACCTCACTACCCACTTACCTGTTCAGAAAGTGGTTGTAGAGGCATATCAATAGTTCTCTGACAACATCTTTCATTCCTCTTACTGGTGAGAGAAAAGATGGAGAGATTGCTTTCAAAAAAGCTACAACTCCCCTAAATTATCCTGTCAGAGTTCAGATTATCACTCATTTTAAAACATTATTTTCATGGAAAACTGACTATCCACCTCCCAAAGACTCATTCCACCTCCAAAACTGTTTTCCTTCATCTCCTTTTCATGCTATTCATCACATTCCCTTCTTAGATCAGTGAAACAAAATCCTTGTCATTAATTGGTCCAAACTAGTTTGTCTCTCCCAAGCACTTAAAAAACTCCTTTTTGTTAGAACCAAAACAAAACAGTTTCACTGGCAGCTGAGTCTAAGTGAGCCTCAACTCAAATGAAAACTACTAATTCTGTTTGCTGAGTTCCAAACCAAACTAATCTATGATTTAAACATTTCTAGATAGTTAAATCTTACCATTATATTCATGCTTTATCATATCCTTACATTAGTGATATGAAAAATACTCTGAGGAAGCATGACATAATTGTATAAACATGTAGTGTTTTTTCCAATTTTATAGGCCCTTGGCCTAATTTCAAATTAATTTCTTTCAAAATTTCCAGTTCCTACTCTTTCTTTCCCAACCAGGGGTGCTGCCAACTAGTTACGCTCACAAAGCAATCACACTTGGGTGCCTAGTTTTAGTAGTGTCATATCAATGAGCATGCATTGTAGCTGATTAAAAGCCGTAGAAAGTGATAAAAGAAAAATTTTGCCATGTTTCCTAAGAAAACTGTAACATTTCTAACTTAAAACTATGCAACATTTTTTACATCAAAACGACATTAGCCCCTGTACGTACCCTCATAAACTATTCCTGATTTGCAGCAGTTTGCTTCTTTGTGTCATTTGACCATTCCAAATTTTGAACTGTGTCAAACAATCAAGGAGGGCTGGCAGAGGAAGGCTTGATTGAAAAAGAAAAGCAAATACTTGAGTCTGAAACAGACTTCTTCGATGTTTCTCATACCCTGAATGTTAAGAAATTGATCACATATTTCCAAAATCATTACTGTTTTCTGAAATTTCTTTTTCCATCTGTTAAAAATAGGACATATTACTCATACTGCTTTTGTCAGTGATAATGGTTTTAAAGATACCTCTGCAGAAAAGGATATGAATAAAAAATATGAAAAACAAACATTAGAAGTTGCATGTTTGAGGGAAGAAAACTATGAAATGCCAGTACAACGCACAAAAAAAATCTCCTGAGAAACAAAATGTTAGCTAAAGCTGTTTCAGTTAAATGTTTGAAAAGAATAGGTAGCTTTTGTATTTGTGTGTAAGTTTAACTTTTGTCAATTCTGTTTCTTCCTAATGCAGCTTTTTATTTTTTACTTCTAATGCAGACTTCTTCCAGTAGTTTTACACTTTATGAATTTCTCTAAAAGGCAGTTATCTCATGTATTGAAATCTTTGCACAGGATAGTGAATTAGTCTTTGACTGTACTTCTTTGCCATCTTAATTATTAAAAAGATTTAAATTTGAAGTAACATCACAATTTTCCAGTAATTATCCTTGCTGACAGAAATAAAGAATACAAATTTTCTCACTTCGTGTTAATAAAGGGTTAACTGCATTTAAACAGATTGCAATTTTAAATAAAACTGACAGGCAACCTGTAAATACAGATTCATACACTTTGAAGAAGAAAAGATGAATTACGGGTTTTTGTGTTGGGTACGTGCTATCATGTAGCAGGGTTACTATCAGCCTTGTTCAGTCATTGCACATACTAAACTGTCATGTCTTGTTAGGAATTACCTTGTTGCTCTCATGTTTGCAAGTAGAAACATTAGAATTTTTGAATAGATAAACCTAAGATATTCATAGTTAAGATAAAATGAAGTTTAGGTATGTTAAAAGTAAGTGCTAAAAGTACAAGCAAAATGCCAAAACAATGTTAATGCTGTCTCCCAGCAACGTGTTTCAATAGGTGCACAGTTTTGACTTAAGGTATTCCAGCCTGTGTGGTCTCAGACTGTATTAACTCTTTTTAATGGAATGTTAGAGTTTGAGGGGTTGGAAGGTTTTTTAATTTTTATCTCTTTTTGATATCAGCTACATTCATAATGCTGCTTTGAAGACTATTACAGCATTTTATACACTTTTTAAATAAAGAACTAACATTCATGATTAAGCTTCTCTTTTCACAGATTTTAATTTTAGAAGAAGAAAGTTGAAAGTTATACTTTGAATCTTGGAAGAATTTCTGTAGGATTCTTATATGAGCTCTTTTATTACAGGAAAAAAATTACACTAAATGTTAATGTCATAAAAATAGTTCATTATTTCAAATTACAAAGATGTCTAATTTGATGATTAATCTTATATTTTGCTGTGGGACATCAAAGTGAAAAATAGTTATTTGATTGTGTAAAGCCTTAAAAGCTTCTGTCCACCATGAAGGAGAAAAAAGGAAAGTTGGGGTTTTATTCAGACTATATTCTTGGCCCAAATTCTGAATTGTTTCTTGGCCTGCTACTTCCTTCTGAATTAATTAGTAAATGAATGTGGAAAACAGTTTAATCTAGTTTTTCATTTAGATCACTGAGAATCAGCTGGTAAGATAAAATTTCGTCTATTCTTCATGTGGTTAAATGCAAACTTCCCTGTTAGAGGGAGTTCAATAGCATTATCATGAATGAGCAATGTCTCGGATGATGCTGAGATCATGTTGGAGGTTCATAATAAAGCCTTCCCAGTGCCCCTTGTCTTCTCTGAGCTCTCACAAGGGTCTGAGGTGCATAGCCATTTGTACACCTCTTAGTGCAAGAGAGCAAGTTAATGCAGCCAGATTTTTCAGTTGATTTTAAAATAAGGTATTTTCTATGTTTTGTCGAGGTATAATTATTTAATTGTTTTTCTAGATCCATCAGAAAAGCATAAAACATTGTTTGAAGGAACAATGTGGTCTCCCATTAATAATCTTCCAGTAAATAGTGTGGGTTTTTTTTAAAAAAGGGATACTTCAGATCTCCAGATTTATTTTTTTTTTGCATTATTATTTGTAGTGTCTGTTCTCAGCTGAACTTCACACTGTTGACACTCTTTTAACTCAAATAACCAAGCCACACCAACATCAACTTGTAGTTTTGATTCTTCCCACTAACTGATTAACTGGATCACCTGGCTCCATCTTTAGAACTTGTTGCCCATGTGTCTTTGTCTAGTCAGGGAAGAATGAGTAAGAACGATGTTCCTTCAAAGAATAAATCCAGATGAGATTATACATCATGCCTGAGTTGACCCAATAGCTATAACACTACCTTACCCCTTTGCTCCTGATTCTCCTCCTCCCTCCTCCTGTTCCACCAGCTTGACACACTTCTGATACTGCAGTAGGACCATTCAAATCACTAAACAGAAACCTAAGCTGGCAAAAAAAAACCAAAAAAACAACAAAAGTGCATTGCTGTCTGTTAAGTTAGCAGTTTGAATGATCTTTGCAAAGAGTCCAGCAAAGAAAAAAACAAGTAAAAATACATATATGTCAATATTACTTACCTGTGATAAAGAGGGCATTTTGTGTCCAAAACTGTATAGAACACCAGCTTCTGTGCCATCCTTTATCTGCATCCAAATGTTATTGTTTTTGCATATAATGGGCATCTATAACTTAAAGGCACTGAAAATGCAGTTGTCTGTTAAGTGCTAAAGTTAAGTGGGATGAATCCACTAAAGCTTTTTGGTAAAGCTCTTGATGCATGATTCCTTTTATCTAGTTCGTTAGTTTGGTTTTGGTTTTCTTTCTTTCCAACAGTCAGCCTTTGACTAAAAGAAATATTTACCATGATCTCTGTGATCCTGGCAATTCCATTGCCTTTCATGCTTGATGCAGTTGTTAGTATTTTGTAACATCAGAAGTGCAGTTCTAGACTATCCATTGGCTTTCAAACTTCAGATGAAAACTTGGAAGGGCAGTCTGTCAGCACTCAAATGTTTGGCAAGAAGTTTTAGTAATAATTTCCTGAGG